AAGGCATTTTCCAGCCTTCACCTTCCCAAGTTTCCAGCCTTCACCTTCCCAAGCACGTGCGCTTAAGCCAGCAAGAGGTAGACCCACTGCTACCGCCCAACGAAAAAGCCTGTGGCTCGCTGAAAATCCCAGAGCCCGGGTCCATTCAAGACCTGCCCAGGACTCTTCAGGGGTGGCCCTGGGCACCTAGGAAAACAGTGCAGAGGAAAAAAACTGAATACACACATACACACACACACACACACACACACACACACACACACACGAGCGTGCATAACAGGCCACACATCTACCCCCAACTTTCCTGCAAGGAATACTTTTCCAGCCAAGTAGAGACAGAACAACAACCCGCCTGAGAAGAAAGGGAAAAGGAAGACTGCCAGCCTCAGCCTCTCCTCCCGACCTAACCGATAGATCTCACTCCTGGGCAGCACCCCCTCCCCTGACATCTCGGGCCGTGGATGCCACCTGGGCCTCACAAGGAAGAACATCTGTGCCATTGGTAGGGCTGACTGTTACACGTTCTTTGTCTCCAACTCCCCCCGCCCTGGGTGAGAGGAAGCGCTGACGCTCATTTGTCTGCAGAGATAGTGATCCACCTGTCTCCTCCCGCATCGCTTTCCCAGCACCAGCTTCTCAACCACCACAGGTCCACATTGCCCATGCCTGTGAAACAAGATGCCACCGCTTTGTGAAAGTGGCCCATCGCAATCCTATCCTGGCCACCTGGTCCCCTGGTCCCCACACACACAAAGATAAAACAAGCCTACAAAATAAGACGTGTAGCAGCTGTCACTACAGGGAGGGGAGCTTATCCATGAACCACCATTCAAATGATGTTTAAAAAACCATGGAGAGTCCGGGTTCGATGGCCTGTAATCCCAGCACTTTGGGAGGATTGCTTGAGCCCTAAGAGTTTGAGGCTGCAGTGAGCTATGATTGCACCACTGCACTCCAGCCTGGGCAAAAGAGCAAGAACCTGTCTCTCATAAACAAAAAACCATGGATATCGCACTTTACACAGAGATGTATGTATCTCTTTCCCTCACCACTTTTTGGCAGATGGGGGCAGACGATTGCAACAAATCAAACAAGGCTTGGGCAAGCTACTTTACCATTTGATCATGCTTTAAGCAGAGCAATCTAGAATATGAATATGGTGGTGTCTCAATCTATGAACTACCTGCAGAGTTCTTTTCATGAACTAGCCACTTGTAAGGGTACACACTCCATCCTGGAGCATAAAATGCTAGAAAATGCTACCTAATCCACAGAGACAGAAGGCAGATTAGCGGTTGCCTAGGAATGGGGAAAGAGGAGAGCGGGGAGATTTAAATAGAGATTTATATTTAGTTAGAGAAGAATATGTGTTCTGGCTTTAAGAAAACAATTTTGAAAGCACCTATTGGTGCTTTTGTGATAAGGAAAACCACATAAAGGTAGCTGGATTTTTAGAAGTTCCATGCACACAGTTGGTCACAGAAGTCTTCTGTGTTGAGTGCTGTGTGAGAGCAAAGGAAAAAGAGCTCGTGGGTTTTTTCCTAACACAGTTATTGAAAGTGTTTGGAAATAAAAGTCTGTAAATAAACTCCTCTGCTTTATATCACGTTACACGTTACTTAAATAAAATTCTAAACCAATATTATCATTTTGTCCACACCTCTTATTTAAAGGAAAGTGGGTCTGCAGAACACGAAATGGTGATTCTCCACAGTGGCTCCCAGAGATCCTTCAGGGCAAACGTTTAATTCTCTTCCCAAGAGTCTTTTAAGTACCTACTCAGTGAAACCAGCCAGCAGATGCCCTGAGGCCTTCTCTCTCTCCACCCACCAACCAGTTCTCCTGGGGCATGCCTTTCCTTTGAACAGATTTTAACTTTTTAAAATTTATTCCTTTTTTTTTTTTTTTTTTTTTTTTTTGAGACAGAGTTTTGATCTTGTTGCCCCAGCTGGAGGTCAATGGTGCCATCTCAGCTCACTACAACCTCCGCCTCCCGGGTTCAAGCAATTCTGCTGCCTCAGCCTCCAGAGTAGCTGGTATTACAGGCATGCGCCACCACGCCTGACTAAGGTTTTTTTGTTTTGTTTTGTTTTTTTGTTTTGTGTTGTTTTGAGATGAAGTCTTTCTCTGCAGCCAGGGCTGAGTACAGTGGCTCCATCTCGGCTCACTGCAACCTCCGCCTCCCAGGTTCAAGTGATTCTCCTGCCTCAGCCTCCTGAGTAGCTGGGATTACAGGCACATGCCACCATGCCCAGCTACTTTTTGTATTTTTAGTAGAGACGGGGTTTCGCCATGTTGGTCAGGCTGGTCTCAAACTCCTGACCTCGTGATCTGCCGGCCCTGACCTCCCAAAGTGCTGGGATTACAGGCATGAGCCACTGCGCCAAGCCTAATTTTGTATTTTTTGTAGAGATGAGGTTTCTCCATGTTGGTCAGCCTGGTCTCAAACTCCCGACCTCAGGTGATGGTGATTCACCCACCTTGGCCTCCCAAAGTGCTCGGATTACAGGCATGAGCCACTGTGCCTAGCCCCTCCTTTGAACAGATTTTAGACTATCTTTATCACTAAATATGTACTTCTAGTTCAAAAAAAGAATCACATCTACCATGCTTCTAAACATGTGGAACAATACCTGACTTCACTCTCATAACTTTGGAAATGCAAATATAAATAATGAAACCATATTTAACCTATCACTTTCACAGAGAATACAAACAAACTACAAATATCCTATGCCAGAGATGATGTGATAGGGGTCTGAGAAACTTGCAAATGTCTCCGAACATTCACAACGCACATACCTTCTGACTCGAGAACTCCCATGCTAGGAGTTTCTATGCACAGCTATGTCCTGGTGGTATAAAGTTGGCCAGCTGTGCTGACTAAGCTGGTTTCTCCACCGAAGAAGAGACAGGCAGTAGGACAACAAGCACAGCCCAGTGTTTTGGGAGCTCTGGCAGCCCAGAATGAGATAGTACAGGAAGTCGCAGTCGCCCTCGGCAGCAGGGTGATGACCCCCAGAGCCAGTTTCTAACTCCTCATCTTACCTCTGCAGAACAAGCTTCTCTGTCTACCACCAGCATTCCACTAAGTTAACTGAACAAACTGCTGCTACAGGAGGGTTAACAGGGTGACCACAAAGGAATCATAACAGAATGTTACGGTGCCTCTCGTGGCCCACCCTCTCCAATGACTCAGAAACCACATTTCTGAGATTTGACTTTCTGATCTACAAAGAGTTGTTAAAAGGGTACTACTCAGGAATAGCACATACCACTTACAAACGACTTTGCTAAATTCATGTGGCAAAAAATGTTTTTCCTTCCTCCTTTCTTCTTCTTCATTTTGTTTTTTGGAGACAGAATCTCACTTTGTCACCCAGACTGGAATACAGTGGCACAATCACAGTTCACTGTAGCCTTGACCTCCCAGGCTCAAAGAATCCTCCCATATCAGCCTCTAGAGTAATTAGGACCACAGGCATGCATCATCATGCCCAGCTAATTTAAATTTTTTTTTTTTTTTTTTTTTTTTTTTTTTTTTTTTAGAGATGGGGTCTCACTATGTTGCCCAGGCTGGTCTCCATCAAACTCCTGGGCTTGGGTGATCCTCTGGCCTCGGCCTTCCAAAGTGCTAGGATTACAGGTGTGAGCCATCACGTCTGGCTTTTCCTCATTTTGAACCTTTTCTGGATAGTTTTGGCACGTCCACCTCCCCCTCCTTCAAAAAAGGCCTTTAGGAAGATGTCTTGGCTGGTCCGAGTGCAGTGGTGTTTACAAATAATTAGTCACAGCCAGTTACCGATGTCTTTGTTCCTTCTCCACCCTCCTACTTCACTTGGCCAGCCTTGAAAAAAAATTGTTGTTTTCAAAAAAAAGGAAGATATCTTCACGTCTGTACCAAAAATGTAAATAAATGTCAGTCCATTATTTAATTAAAATTTACAGCCAGCCTTCAAAAGAACATGCTAATTTTGCCAAAAAGGATGTGTAGGCTTTTTGTTTTTTTTTGAGACGGAGTTTTGCTCTTGTCACCCAGGCTGGAGTGCAATGGCGCGATCTCGGCTCACCGCAACCTCCGCCTCCTGGGTTCAGGCAATTCTCCTGCCTCAGCCTCCTGAGTAGCTGGGATTACAGGCACGCACCACCATGCCCAGCTAATGTTTTTGTATTTTTAGTAGAGACGGGGTTTCACCATGTTGACCAGGATGGTTTCGATCTCTTGACCTCGTGATCCACCCGCCTCGGCCTCCCAAAGTGCTGGGATTATAGGCTTGAGCCACCGCGCCCGGCCGAATGTGTAGGCATTTTCCTGTGAATAAGCCAACTATAAAACCAAGGCGGGGAGTTATTTCTCTTTGAAAACGACATATCACCCAACATTCCTGTGGTACCCAGGAGTATTGTTTTAGTTACTATATCATGTCCCCAAGTTCACTTTCTAACCTCTTAAAACCATCCAAGCTACAGCAAAAAAAAAGAAAAAAGAAAAAACACAAAAAACATCCAAGCTCCAACTGACATGTAACATACAGGAATAGACAGCCAGCTCACTCCAGACCTCAGCACAGCCCTCTAAACTCTTGGCGGATGGCCTCTTCATGACAGTCACTCTCTTTCTAACATGTAAACAGAAAACGCAGCGGGCTGCCACCTTGTGTACAAGACAGGCAACAACATATCACTTCACTGAGAGCATAAGCAGTTTTCTGCCTGCCAAGAGAATCATCTACATATTGCCAAAGGAAAGATAGGCGGATTCAAATCCACTTAATACATTAAAATTTATAAAATCAGTCATAATAAAATAAGGAACCATCTGGACTACTGATGCTGGGCCCATGCTTAGCCAAGACATACAACTCTAAGTGCACATAGGCAGGACTTGGGTCCCAATCGCGATCTCTGCAGTGATGTGGGTGGGACAACTGGCTTCCCACTTTGATGTTGCACTGACTCCTGTGTGTCGTGGTAAATGTGGGAGGAAGCTCAAGTCTTACCTTTTAACGACCAGCTTCAGGGTCTTATGGGACCCCTTCACCAGGCAAATCGCTTCCTGTCTAAACCCTGAGAGACCAATGTCATTGATGCTGACGATCTCGTCTCCAGCCAGTAACTTGTCGACCGCCGCGGCTTTACTGCCCTCTTCAATCTGTAAGAGAGAAGCATGTTCCATGAGCGTTCCATGAGCCTTCCATGAGCAGCGATTACAGAGGCAGAGTAGGTCCTCGGAACGCAGGTGACATAGCTCATGCTTGGCGGGAATGCGACTCAGGGGACTGACCTTATTACCACTCAGGGGATCAGGGATGCACTACACCCCTTTCCCTGGACACGACTCCTGTTTATCCAGGGAATAGGAAAGCTTAGGAACGCACACCACGGAAAGCAGGGGACCTGAAATTACTGATTCATTTTCTAGATTTCCTTAAACCAGACAATAATTTTGGACCATTTTAATTTATTAATTTCTCATGCATTAATCCTGGAACTAGTTAGACTGTTTTTGTAATAGCTTTATGGAAATATAATTCAAATACCATACATTCACTCATAGAAAGCATGGCTTTTATTATCTTCAGAGTTGTACAACCATCACCACCATCAATGTTAGGGCATTTCCCCAAACTCCGAAAGAAACATGTGCTCCTTACTACACAGTTTCCAATCCCTCCAGCCTCTGGCAATCACAAATGTACTTTCTGTGTCCACGAATTTGCCTGTCCTAGACAGTTCACATAAATGGAGTCATACAATGTGTGGCCTCTTGGGTCTGGCTTCTCTCACTTAGCATGATGCTTTCAAAGTTCATCCATGTTGTAGCACACAGCAGTACTTCATTTCTTTTTATGGCTGAATAACATTCACTTGTATGGACAGACTACATTTTGTTTATTCATCAGTGTCGACTTTTGGCTATTGTGAATGATGTTGTTATGAACATGGGGGTACAGTTTTTGTGTGGACCTATGTTTTCACTCCTTTAGAATACAGACCTAGAAGTGGAATCGTTGAGCCCATAATAACTACATTTAACAACCTAAGGAGCTGCCAGGCTGTTTTCTACAGCAGCTGCACTGTTCTACGTTCCCACCATCAATGTATGAAGGTCCCAATTTGTCCACATCCTTGCTAACATGTATCTGTATTTTGTCATAGCCCTAATCAGACTATTATACCATGCTGTGTATGTTAAGACATTCACTACTCAGAAATAAACACAGTATGCTCTCAGTGTGTATTGACTGACTTCCTAGCAGCTTGAATCTCATCCATTCTATAGCAATTTTTTTTTTTTTTTCTCGAGATAGAGTCTCGTTCTGTCATCCAGGCTGGAGTGTAGTGGTGCAATCTCGGCTCACTGCAACCTCTGCCTCCCCATTCAAGCAATTCTCCTGCCTTAGCCTCTTGAGTAGCTGGGATTACAGGTGCACGCCACCAAGCCTGGCTAATTTTTGTATTTTTAGTAGAGATGGGGGTTTCAGCACGTTGGCCAGGCTGGTCTCGAGCTCCTGACCTTGTGATCTGCCTGCCTCAGCTTCCCAGAGTGCTGGGATTGCAGGCATGAGCCACCCCACCCGACCTACATTCTATAATTTTTATTAACGTAGATTTTCCTATACAGTAAAATGGAACTCAACAGCAATTCATTCCAGTTAATCTGGCCATTTTCTGGCAAACTGTGGCCACTGAGCCAATCCAGTCAGCTGCTTTTTCTCCCCTTCCCACCCCCAAAAGTTTTAGTGGAATATAGCCACACCCATTGGCTTACATATTGCTACAGGGCAGAATTGAGTCCCTTGGCCCACAAAACCAAAAATATTTACTACCGGGCTTGTTCCAAAAATGGTTTGCCAACCGTGTTTTACACCAAAAAGTTTTATAAACTGCAAAAAAAAAAAAAAAAAAAAACAGTAAGAAAAAATTACTGGTTATAAGCACATCAGCATACAGCTTTCAAGTTCACTGCCGCCCAGTTGCATGCCTTGGCTAACCTGAGAATAACTTCCAAAGGTGAGCCTGAAACTAATGCCATCCATTCTTGCGGGAGTTGAAAAGCTAGGTGTTTCAGACTCAAGCTTACTTCTTGGGGTGGGTGGCCAGGAGAAGCTAGGTGCTAAGTAACTTACAATGCCTCAATTCTGAAGCTGCATATTTTCCTGAAATCTCCACCTGGATCTGAGGACAACTGAACTCTTGTGAATAAAGCAATTATTCACTGCTAGTCAATACCATAAACAAAATTTAGAAACCACTCCTAACAAAAATATGCAGCAATTTTTTCAGTCAACAACTGGTTTCAAAAGTTCTAGACGATTTTATCCCCATGTCTTTATAGACTGTAAATAAGCTTCCACCCACTGAGATTGTACACACAGCCAAGGGATAGCAAAATGCAGGCGATACCTGGTGGAGACTGGGTGTCGACATGCCCCAAGAGGGAGGCCAAGGGGCCAGCCAAGAAGCTGGGGATCTGGAGCAACCCTCACCCCAGGTTTCTGCACAGAGGAAAGAGGATGGATCAGAGATGAAGGGCCTTATCTGTTTCTCTAGGCCACTGCTAAGTGCTGGGGCTGGAATGACTGACGCACATCTGTATTTCAGTGCTAGAAAGCTTAAGTGTTGATGTGGCTGACTTCGCTCATTTCTATTTCCCCCTGAACCAAAAAAGGGTATCCAGGCAGGGTGGGAAAGACAGTAAACATAAGGTGTGGATAAGGAGGCAAGTTACAGACATCTGGGGTCCAGGGATTCCAAGGAAACTCTTGGCATCCTGGAGCTGGTCTTCTGTTTTGGAGACTTCGGGTCTTTAGTGGCTTTTCTTGCCTGCCAGGAATTCCGCCTTGTTGAAAGATCACAGAAGTTATTTCTATCCATGTGTTATCCACAGATGCCAACTGCAGACCCTAAAAATTCTGGTCTCTTTTTCCTCATTTCCTTGTAATCACAATGGATAACACAGCTTACCTGCCATGCAGATGCTATTAATCATGGTCATGAATATAATGCAAAACAAGTCAAATATCAAAAACTCAACTCAAAGCTTTAGAAATAACAAATCGGTTCCTCACAATTTTTAGCTGAAACGGTCTACAACTGACCTCATCCAGAATAAACAATAACCTCGTTCTTCCAAGAGAGAGACCCTCATGACAATGTAAACATACAATTTACCAAAAAGAGGTAAAAGGATTGGCATTCTGATAGTAGATATTTCTCCCCTAAACTGCACTTCATGTTACAATGTTGGGAAACTTGCTCCAGAGTAAAGTGGCAAAAGAAAATAATTAATATATGTTTACAGACGTTTAGCTCATTTAAGAGACTTCACCATTAATCTCTACGAATATAGAAGATTTTTCCCAATTTTAATTCTACTGCCAAAGGAAACATGGTATAAAACTCAGAATTTAACTTACACCTTTAATGAGTTAGAAAAAAAGCATAGAAAATTACTAAGGGGAAGAATCCAACATTTTAGGTAGTAAATTAAAACATAAAAATATTAACCAAAGTAACAGAATTATGAGAATAACAATACCAGTCACATGCCAATGAAGTATCTGCTTAGAAAGCTAATTTAGCCTCTATTTCGAAAGTGTCCAAAAATGCACTGTTTTTTTGAAGACAGGGTCCCGTTCTGTTACCCAAGCTGGAGCTTAATGGCGTGATCAGCAGCTCACCACAGCTTGCACCTCCCGGTCTCAAGCAATTCTCCCATCTCAGCCTCCTGAATAGCTGGTACTACAGGCACGCACCACCGCACCCAGCTAATTTTTATTTTTATTTTTTTTGTAGCGATGGAACCCTATGTTACCCAAGCTGGTCTCGAACTCCTGGGCTCAAGTCATCTACTTGCCTTGGCTTCCCAAAGTGCTGGGGTTACAAACATAAGCAAAAATGCACATTTACAAAGTATAATTCTATCATCATAAATTTCTAAGGACATCAATACATCTATCATGTGCTCACAAAAATTAAAACAAAAAACCTTGATACTTTATTCATAATCAATTTGATTGCATTAAAAAACCACAAGAAAAAAACACAACAAATTTCAAAGGACAGAATCTTATTTTGTTTTTGCCTTTAAACAATTATGAATTCTAGGTGAAAACAACCCAAATGTCCATCAACAAATGAATGGATAAAATATGGCATATATATATACACATATAATGGGAATATTATTCAGCCTTAAAAAAGGAGAGAAATTCTGACACAGGCCAACAACATGGATGAACCTTGAGGACATTATACTTAAGTGAAATAAACCAGTCACAAATGGAGAAACACTGTACAATTGAATTGAGGTACCTGAGTCATCAAAATCATAGACACAGGAGTGGAAGGGTGATTACCAGGGGCTGGGGAGAGGAGGGAGTGGGAAGTTAGTGTTTAATGGGCAGAGAGGTTCAGCTGGGGAAGACGGCAAGTTCTGAAAATGGACAGTGGGGATGGTTGGACAGCAGTGTAAATGTACTTAACACATCACTGAAAGGTACACTTTAAAATCATTAAGAAGGTAAATTCATGTTATGTATATTTTACCACAATAAAAAGTTATACGTTCCCCAATATCTAAAAACAAGAGGCTGGGTGCTGTGGCTCACACCTATAATCCCAGCACTTTGGGAGGCCAAGGCAAGTGGATTAACTGAGGTCAGGAGTTCAAGACCAGCCTGGCCAACATGGTGAAACCCTGTCTCTACTAAGAATACAAAAAAAAAAAGCTAGCTGGGCATGGTGGCACACGCCTGTAATCCCAGCTACTCGAGAGACTGAGGCATGAGAATTGCTTGCTCCTGAGAGGTGGAGGTTGCAGAGCTGATATTGTGTCACTGCACTCCAGCCTGGGTGACAGAGTGAGACTTTGTCTCAAAATTTTTTTTTAAATTTTAAAAATTAAAATAAAAAAATAAAATCAAGGAAACTATTTTAACCCAGTGTAAGAGAGATACATGGTGAGCTTTAAAATTGTGTCTAGGGCTGAGAGCAGTGGCTCATGCCTGCAATCCCACCACTTTGTGAGGCCAAGGTGGAAGAATCACTTGAGTCCACAAGTTCGAGACTAGCCTGGGTAATACAGCAAAAGAAATCCTATCTCTACAAAAAAAAAAAAAAAAAAAAAAAGTAAAAAATTAGCCAGAT